TGAAACAAAAAGCTGGTTCTTTGAAAGGATAAACAAGATTGGCAGACCACTAGCCAGACTGACCAAGAAAAAGAGACAAAAAGTCTAAATAAATACAACCAGAAATGCAAAAGATCAAGTCACAACTGACTCCAAAGAAATACAAAAGATTATCAGAGATCACTATGCACACCTGTACAGAAACAAATTCAAAAACCAAAATGCAAGTGAGGACTTTCTGATATCACATAACTTCCTATGGTTGAAACATGAAGAAATTGAGACCCTTAATAAACCAATAATAACCCAGGAAGTGACTCCATCATAAGAAAGTTACTTACAAAAAAAAGTCCTGGACCAGATGGCTTTCCAGCAAAATTCTACAAAACATACAAACAGGAACTGATACCAATCCTATTGAAAATACTGCAGGCAACCGATAAATATATATATATATATTTTTAGTTGGAGTCTCACTTCGTTGCTCAGGCTGGAGTGCAGTGGCATGCTCATAGCCACCCCAGTGTCAACCTGCTGGGTTCAGGCAATCCTTCTGCCTCAGTCTTCCAGTTAGCTGGAACTATAGGTGCATGCTACCACGCCTGGCTAATTTTTTGATTTATTGTAGAGATAAGGTCTTACTAAGTTGCTCAGACTGTTCTTGAGCTCATGGGCTGAGGCAATCCCCTTACCTCGGCCTCCCAAAGTGCTGGGATTACAGGCTTGAGCCATCACGCCCGGTCAAGAAAGAATTTTATGAAGCTAACATCACACTGAAATCCAAACCAGGAAAAGACCCAACAAAGAAAGAGAACTACCAGCTAATAACCCTGATGAACATAGATACAAAAATTCTCAACAAGATTCTAGCAAATCGGATCCAACAACACATCTCAAAAATTATCCACCATGACCAAGTAGGCTTCATCCCCAGAATACAGGGCTGGTCTAACATCCACAAGATCAGAAATGTAATTAAATACATCAACATATGTAAAAACAAGAACTACATGATTGTATCATTAGATGTAGAAAAAGCTTTGACAAAATCCAGCATCCATTCTTGATAAAACCACTTGAACACCTAGGTACAGAGGAAGCATACCTCAGAATAGTAAAAGCCATTTGCGATAAACCCCCAGTCAACATATTACTAAACGGACAAAAATTGGAAGCATTTCTCCTGAAAACCAGAACAAGACAAGGCTGCCCACTCTCACCCCTCTTGCTCAACATAGGGTTGGAAGTCCTAGCCAGAGCAATCAGACAAGAGAAGCATATCAGGGGTATCAAAATAGAAAAAGAGGAAATTAAGCTATCCCTCTTTGCAGAAAATATGATCCAATACCTTGAAAACACACAGCAATCTCTCAAAAACCTCCTTGCACTGATAAAGGACTTTGGCAAAGTCTCAGGGTATAAAATCAACGAGCAAAAGACAGTTGCATTTCATAAACCAACAACAAACAGGCAGAGAACCAAATAAAAAGCATAATCTCATTCACAATAGCCACTAAAAAAAATGAAATACCTTGGCATTTTCCTGACCAGAGAAGTGAAAGTCCTTTACAACGAAAACTATACAACACTTCTCAAAGAAATCAAAGACACGAATAAATGGAAACTATCCCATGCTTGTGGATTGGAAGAACTAACATTATTAAGATGTCCATGCTACTCCAGGCAATCTATAAATTCAACACAATACCCATGAATTACCATCACCATTCTTAGACCAGGAAAAAAACACAGAAATTCATATGGAAACAAAAACAACCTCCAATAACCAAAACAACTCTCAGCAAAATAAACGAAATGGGAGGTATCACACTTTCAGACTTTGAACTTTATTATAAGGCTACAATAATTAAAACAGCCTGGTACTGGTACAAGAACAGGCATATAGACCATTGGAACAGGATAGAGATTCCAGAAGCAAAACTTCAATTTCTCAACCAACTCATCTTTGACGAAGCCTCTCCCAACAACCATTGCAGAGAAGAGAGCCTATTCAGTAAATGGTGCTGGGAGAACTGGCTGACCACATATCGAAGAATGAAACAGGACCCCTACCTACCACCATAAACAAAAATCAACTCCAAATGGATCAATGACCTAAATGTAAAACCTCAAACTATAGAAATCTTAGAAAATGCAGGAGACACCCTTATGGATATTGGAATAGGCAACCAATTCCTGATCAAAACCCCAGATGCCTATGCCATAGGAGATAAGATAGATAAGTGGGACCTCATCAAACTGAAAACCTTCTGTAAAGCAAACTAAACTATCAAGAGAGTGGGGAAACAGCCCACAGAATGGAAAAAATATTTGCCAACTGAATATCTGACAAAGGCCTAACATCCAGGATCTACAAGGAACTCACCCGTGCTGATAGGAAAAAAACTCCAAAAAACAAAAACAACAGCCCCATCAAAAAGCAGGCAAAAGATAGGAATGGACACTTCTCAAAAGAAGACATACGAGTAGCCAACAGACACGTAAAGCAAGTCCACATTGAGATACCACCCAACTCTAGTAAGATGGCCATCATTAATAAAACAAATAACAACAGATGCTGGCAAGGATGCAGAGAAAAGAGAATATGTCTACACTGTTGTGCAAACTGGATCAACCTCTATGAAAAACAGTGTGTTGATTTCTAAAAGAGCTGGAAATTGACTTTTCATATGACCCACCAATCCCCCTACTAGGAATATACTAGGAGTAACTCAAATCATTCTACACAAAAGATACCTGTGCACACATTCACACTATTCACAATAGCAAAACATGAACTTTATTATAAGGCTACAATAATTAAAACAGCACTATTTACAATAGCAAAAACGTGGAACCAACTGTGCTGCCCATCAAAACTGGACTGGATTAAAAAAATGTGGTACATATACACGATGTACTATTACACAGTCATAAAGAAGGAAAAAAAGTATGGCCTTCACAGCAACTTGGATGGATTTGGAGTATGTCATACTCGATGATCTATCATAGAAACGAAGAACTGAATACCACAAGTTCTCACTCATAAGTGGGCCCTGAACACCTATTATAATACTATAAGAAACGGACACTGCTGGGGGAGAGGGGACATCAAAATCAATAAAGGTGCCCGACCCTAATCCAGGTGAAGTGGGTGAGTGCCAATGGGAGGCCCAAACTTCACCTGTACCTGCACTACGTATGTACTCAATCCTGACTTGTACCTCACATCTTAAAAAAAATATATATATGTGTATATTTATATATAAGTGTGTACATATATGTATGCACACATAAACACAGGTCCCTTAAACATATTTTTTATATAAAGCAATACATGCCTATGGGAAATAGTCAACCATTACAGAAGAGATTAGACAAGAGAACAAACTGGCAACTCATAGATAAATTCGATTAGTCAAAGGGTTTTGCTGGACTCATACAGTATTTTATTTGTAACTCTGAATTTGAATGACTTCAGATGTGTTCTGAATTTTCCAATTTGCCATACTCCATTTTTCTAGTTTTACACCTGACTCCATTCATTCATTTGTGGTTCCTGTTTTGCTTTTAGTCAGATGAGTTTGCAATCCTGGCATAAAGTAAAAAGTTCCTCCTGCCTCCACAAATCTCCTAGTCTTATGCCCCAGAACAAGACTTCTCAACAGTGGTACTATAGGCATTTGCAATAGATAACTGTTTGTTTGGAGGTGCAGTCCTGCTTACTGTAGGATCTTCTGCAGCATTCCAGGCCTCTCCCCACTAGGAGCTCCCTATCTGCATCCCTTACTTGTAACAATCTAAAATGTCTTCAAACACTGCCACCCTGAGAAGATAGAATTGCCCCCAGTGGGAACCACTGTCCTAGATAAACCTTTTGTAAGAGTTTCTAAGGTATCCTTATAGACAATTTCTCTGTCAATAATAGCAATTAATATTTGTGTCTCTGTCATTTTAAAAAATATTTATTTTTACCCCTAACAATGTATCACAAGTATTGTTCCTTGTTCTTACATACAAAGTACCCTAAGCCATAGTTTGAAACAGCTGAAGAGATTTTCACTGTATGGGACTATCATAATTTATTTAATCAACCATGTTCTCTACTCTTGCCCTCCCCATATACTATTGATGGATTTTTTTCATCCATGCGCATGGAAAAAGTTAGAGAATGCAGACCATAAACTGATGGAATATGAACATGAAGAAATTTCATAGGAGAAATATATGAAGAAATATTAATGGAGACAGCAAGGGCTAAAGGGCTTTCTCTGCCAATGCTGCTGCTTGATTTGTTGCTTTACAATCTCTTCCAAAGCAAGAGTTGGGCTACAGAACAGCTGATCATTTTTCCTGATAATCCTTGCTTTATGCTAAGAAAAGAGTCTACAGAGAATGGAAATTTGGGATCACACAAGGAGATACTTGAGTGAGACAAAGTTGATTGTGATACCAAGAAAGGGAATTAAGTATATAGAGATTAGAAAGAGACCTGTAATGATAAAGGCAAAACAGTCACAGGCATCTGGCAGTTAGTTAACCTTTGCTTTTATTTCATTCCAACCATGGACATGATTATAGTTACCTTCCACTATTTGGGTGATGGTATGTTCAAACAGAACCAGCACTCTGCTGCATGGCACCATGCTCACCCACAGGAGGGCAGGGCAGAGGGGGTCCAGAGGCATGCTCTGATGTTCTAACAGTGAAATATTTTCCTATTGTTAGTAAGTGTCCCAGGTGTAGCAGATCACAGGTTGCAGCAACCTGTGATTCTGGCTTCTGTATTGGTGAGTAGGACTCATGGTGAGCAAGATCTGGGCAAACTGATCTCTTTTAGCAGATTTGACGAACTCACTAAACATCTAAATTATGTTGTATGAAATAACATAGCTGTGATTTTGTGAATAAATTTCTCTCAGCTCATCAGGATTTCATTAGTGCTTCTACAAGATGCATCAGATGCCCTGTAGAAATAACCATAAAAAATAATATATCAAAGTAAAAAAACCAACTCATACCTTTTGGTGCAATTTTGTTTGGTTTGTTGCTTTGTGATCTCTTCCAAAGCAAGAACTGGGCTAGAGAACAGCTGTCCACTTTTCCTGATTATCCTTTGCTTCATAGCAGTTAGACTATTCCATTCTCGAACAAACCTCAAAATCTGGCAGCAAATGAGATAATAAAAAGAGTTAACAGCTCACCAGACATCTTCCTTTGAAATTGAGGCTATTTACAGCATTGAAAACTGATGTCTTGTTTTATCTCCCAAACAGGCTTTTGAGTTCCGGAATTTAAGGTTTTTTTAGTTTGATGCATTTTTCATATCTTTATTGTAAACTATTTACGGCCAGTTTTCAAGAGATCTCTTTCAATCTAAAAATTCTTTAAGGCACATTTCAAGACATAAAGTATATGCTCTTAACACTCATAGGAACCAACTGTGATCATGTGCTCATTGAGACTAAAAGAGGTATGGGAGCACACACATCTCAGCAGTGGCAGAGTCATAACAGGTTAACAGAATGACAGTGCAACATCTGAGAATCACCTTGTAAATGATGCGTAAGTTATTAAGGAAAAAAGTCATTGATAAATCTGGGACATTTGTATTAGGATTACCATTACTGTTATTAGCCAATGATACATAACTGGCTATTTTCTGGGAATCTGAGAATTGGGATTAGATGATACCAAAGAAAATAGCTCACTGCTTCCTCTTCCTTTAAGACAGGTGCAATTGACTTATGGGCAATGCTTCATTTCCACTCAAAGGCTAGAAAAATAATCACAATTTTCTTGTAAAAAAGAGGCACACCGCATACTAGGTCATTCCCTGCACATGATGACCCTTCTTAGCAGTGAAGGTAAATTGGCCACAGATGAGAATTAGGTCTCTGTGGCAGGTATTTGGCCTGGAGCTGCATGGTGGTGCCTCTGACAATGAATCAAGAATCACCCAACACGGTATTATCTTTACTCTCAGAATTTGTCATTGTTAGAACTTAACCTTAAAAGAAAAAAAAATGTGATTCTGTCAGATACAAATATTATGGTTGCTAATCCCGTGAATGGGAAATTAAGTGATGTGAGGATGATTTCGTCCACAGAAACAGCAACTCTAGGTGTGATCATTTGCCAAGGAAACAGATTTCATGTTTATTCTTAGCACCGGGTAATTAATAGGCACTGCCTGGATTAATGAAAATTCAACCAGTGATTTGACTCTGCCACAGGCTACAAAGTGCTTTTCAAATTAAAGTCAATATGATCATTAAAATTACTAAAACAATTTTATTTAAAATAAATAAAGTCATTTTATTTAAAACTAGTCTTACCAGTGAGCGATTTTGTTTCAGCTGAAAGCTTGCTGGTAAATCTTCCCAAAGGTCTAATTTGATATCCAAAGGAATAAAATTATAGTTCATCTGTTTTCCATCCTGATTATTGATTAGGAAGATGTTATTAATTCATTTTTGTATAAGCACTGGTGGCTATTTTAAAAGAAAATAAATACATTTTGGCATAATATGCCATCTCCTAAAAGATAAACTGAGGTGGCATAGTCTAGGCAAGGGTCCATCCAGCATGGCTACCCCCTGGCAGGATTATGAGCCAAAGAAGCAAGGCAGCTCTCCACTGCACTCGTATTCCTCTACTGCTCCGCCGAGCCAAGCCTGCTGCCTTCAGCCTGGGATGCTATGTTTACTGCCCTGTCATACTCTTCCCTACTGCCTAATCTTAGAAATAAGTATCAAAACAACGACATTTGTATATTACAAATCAATACAAAAGAGTATTACATCCTTGAAGTTAACAGTAGCATGACCATTCTCAAAGTCAGAGATCAACTTCTATAAAATCACTGACAACATAAGTGTCACATCAAAGAAGGATATCAAGGTAATACTCTGAATAACTTTCCCAAATGATATGTGTCCATTGTTACAGGACCAAGTAATTAAGGAGAAGGCAGAAAGAGCAATTCTAGAGAAATCATATAAAAACTTGCCCCCCCCAAACAATGTCACAATGTCAGTCCACGAGGACTGTCTGCCAATGGCACCACCTGGAGAGTAAGCGGAATTGTACGGAAAGGTCTCAACAATCCGCTGTGCAATATACTGAAATCGTAAGGGCAAGAAGTAACCACATACCAGGATGTAGTCAAATATGAGTAGAGGCATTTCTTTTTTACAGAGGAAGATGAGCTACTCATATAGAAGTCTGTTACATCAAAAATGGTTGAACTCATATTCTAATTCTCTTAGTAAAAAAAAAAAATTACAGCTCCAACATTAATCTGAAAAAAAAAAAACTCACAAAAAGTACTAACATACCAATTAAAAGTCTAGATATATAATTGTAATATGTGATTCTAAACCCTGAATTAGACTTAAGATTTCTGGCTGAAATGAATAATTCTAATACAACACAGAATAAACATCTATTCTGTTCCCTTTAAGGGGTGATCTTTTAGGTAGCGAATTAGAATTTTTATACAGATTCCTACTTCTAGATTTTACTTCAGCTCTTCTAAAGCTGAAGTAAAATAAAAATTATCTCAACTCTGCTGTAGCTGTGAAAAGACATAACATTTCATCTGCTTAGTGACTCATGTTTAGGAAATTAGTTGAGTGATAACATTTTATGGTAAAGGAACAGTTAAGTACTTAGAACACTTGAGACCATTAACAGAGATGTCAAGAAGGTGCAGTGGCCCAAGCTACATAGGTCAGGTGGCAGAGCCAGAATATGGGTCAGCAAGGCTGTTGCTGTAGTTTGGTTTGACAGCAGCCACACTCTACCCTCTACCAGGAGTTTGCAGTTTAAGGGCCTCTGAATTCCTATTGTGTGCTCTCCCTGGTGTCTGCCTTTTGACTTCTCCACCTTCTCAAGCCCTTCTGGGGACCGATTCTCTGTTCCTCTTATGTGGTGGTCTGAGAAAGAAGCATGGCCTAGAGCTTCTCCCAAATGAGGGATGGGTGTGGCTCAGGCACTTAGACCTACTTCAAGGTGAGCCGAGGAATCCTCAATGCTCCCCACAGTCTAGCTCACATGTTAGACAGGGGTCCACACCAATAACAGGGGCACTGATTCCTGCCTGGCTTAGTTCTTGGTGCCTCTCTTTCAGCTATGGTCTCACACTGGAGGCTGCTTGGGGATTTTGGTATTCATTATCCTAGCCATTTTCTTCTAATTGGATATCATCTATCTATAGCTATATTTGGTTTAGTAGAAACTGAAAGTTTGGCTATCTCCAACATAAAAGTTATCTTTTTTTTTTGAGTTGGAGTCTCATTCCAGACTGGAGTGCAGTGGCCGGGAGTGGCCACTGGACCTGCTGGGCTCCGGCAATCCTTCCGCCTCAGCCTTCCAAGCAGCCGGAATTACAGGCATGCACTACCACGCCCAGCTGATTTTTTGATTTATTGTAGAGATGAGGTCTCGCTGCCCAGGCAGGTCTCGAACCCGCGGGCTCAGGCAATCCACTAACCTCAACCTCCCAAAGGCGCGGGATTACAGGCTGAGCCACTGAGCCCGGATAAAAGTTATCTTTTAAAACATAAAAAAAATAGATCGTGATGTTTAAAAAGTTACAAATATTGCTTTATTATATTTATAAAGATTAGAAATTTGAAATTGTAGAACAAACAAAAGTATTCATGATCTTAGCAGATTTTTTCTCAAATATTCATATAAGTTTACCTAGACCATAGATTTACACATGGTTCCTAAGATCATTTCAGAGGCTCTACAAAGTCAGAAGTGTTTCATACTAATAGTAAGATACCATTTGTCTTTTACACTCTCATTCTCTCATAAATATACAGTGAAGTTTTTCCAGTGGCTATATGATGTGAAATCTCAACAAACTGAAGTAGAGACAGATATGAGACTCCCACTGTCTTCTATTAAGACTTTAGGGGAAACTGCTAAAAATATTAAAAAAAGCACTCTCTCACTAAATATTTTTTGCCTTGGAAAATATAATTATTTTAAATAAAAATGTTATTTATATAGATATATAAGGGGTTTATTATTTTTACTTTTCATTGACAATAAGGACCCCATTTTAAATATAGTAAACATCAGTAGACGTAACCCACATAAACAAAGGCTCTTTGGGGTCCTCAACAAATTTTAGGAGTGCAAAGGGGTTTTGAGTCAAAAAACTTCGGGCACTGCTAAGCCAGGTTATGGCAGGAATCAGCAAAAGCTTCCTAGAATGTACTCAACATGAACAGGCAGGCGTAGGCTTATGTAAAGCATCCTTACAGGTGCTTCTGCTTCTGCTGCTACAAATGATCGGTACAGGAGCTAACATTTATCGAGAATTCATGTTGGCTAGGCACTGGGTGAAATGCTTTTCAGGACTCAGCTCGTTTTATCCTAGCAACAAATCCTGTTCACATTATATGAAACATGTGTGTCCAAGATTACACAGTAACAGATTTGAACTGAGGCAGTACAGCCCTGAAATCTACACTCTTAAGGACTATGTTGTTTTATCTTTAGATTTAACATAGAAATTTAAGAATTAGCTTTAAGGAGGAAGAGAACTAGATGCTTATCTCATTGTTAATAAAATATCTGCATTGAAAAACGAAAAAAGGAAGTCTTTCTTATGTTTCAAGCAATATAATCTGCATGATGCTTACCTTAGTATAGAGGTGAATCCGGTCAGTATTCTTACTGGCACAGAACATTAAAGTGCCATACACTGGCAAAGTGTCTGAACTCTTCAACTGTTCTAATAAAAAGAAAAAAGAGAAGCTGAAGGCTTATCTATTCTCTGTCTAAAATAGTTTATTTTAATCTTCTGCAGGTTAGGATGATAAAATAGCTATATCAAAGAACCCAGTATATTTGACAAAGAATATGTGTGAAATAAACTACATGGTTGGCCATCTAACAGCACATTGCCTTACATGGTAACTAGGTGCTTTGCATTTTTGCTAATGACCTAATGAGAAATAAGCATTCAGAATTAGCTGAAGAAATACAAGTTAGGTAGGCACAAGGAAGAATTTCTTGCCACCAAGAGTTGTTACCTGTCTTGAAAGAGTTTAAAATCTATTCCTTCTTTAGGGTGAATCTGAGATTGAATAGGCACCATTTTGATTATGATCAATGAAACAGCTATGTCAAGGGCCACTTGAATGCCTGATTCCCTCTGGCCAGGTGCCTCACGTTCTCAAAAGGCAATGAGTGAACAAGCTTCTTTTTAGATAATCTCCTCCTAAACTAGCCTTTTCTCAGTCCTACTGTCCAATACATTCTGCAGGACAGACAGGATTATCAGAGCAGGTCTGAATAATTATATCTAACACTTACTGGGCACATACAATGTGCCAGGAACTATTCTAAGTACATATATTAACACTTCTCAGAAATAAATAGTGCATTCTGCACAGGAGGAAACTGAGGCACATTAACTTGTCCATCTCACTGCTAGTAGGAGGATTTAAAACCAGTAATCTGGCTCCAGAGCCTATGCTTTTAACCTCCGTCATAGTTCCTCAGTGATCTTTTGAAGTACTTTCCTAGAACTGGAAGTCTATAATTTGTTTGCCATTCTAATTCTCAATGCCATCATATTATTATTTTTCTAGTCAAGGCATTGACTACTTTACAAACTTGATTTATAAGTTATTCACATATTTCATAAATTTAAAAATGTACTTTAACATCTCTGAAACTGGCATGTCCTACAGTCAGTAATAATAATGACATCTTATAATCATTGCTGGCCAGGTGGCAGTTGTAAAGTAGTCGTCATTGCCTAAGCATGCATGAGCTTAGTCACAGTTATAATACTACTGTCACTTCAGCACTACACACAAGGCATGTGCACTGATGTTACTATATGTATTGAGTTTATTATTTCTGAAATGTCTTTAACATTTTTCACTGTTAATGGTAAGGAAATGAAAAGTTATGATGTATACCATGAAACTTGGATACAAAGCAGGAAAGCGTACAATTGATATTAAAGAAGCAAATATGTATCACTGAAGGAATAATCAAAATTTCTTATTTTTTTGCAAAGGAATAACTGAGTGCTTTATGGAACCTAAGAAAAGGAGATCTCTGTAAATAGAGGAAGTTGTATTATATTTGATTACTGAGATATGCAAAAGAGTCACCTATTACATGTCAAGCAAAGCAACTAAAGGCAGGAGAAACTGCCAAGTCCCTCAGAACAAATGAAAGAAATGTCAAAGTAACAGAGAGTATAGCCTGGGCTATGCTATCACTAAGGTATTATGTCATAGCTCAATTGAGCTCCATGGGTTGTTTTTTCCTTTTTTCATGGTACATAAAATAAGTGCATTTCATAATCACCGTGTCTTTCGGAAAAACTGTATACTAATGTTTAAAGATAAGGAGTATTCTTTGATTAAAAAAAAAAGAATTAAAAGAACAATTCCAAATCAGTTGGTATTTATTCTTGGTAGCTAGCAGCTACACAGGGAAACATCTTCCTCTCTTCAGTGTTTCTAGGAAGTGTAATTTAATGGTTTGAAACTACGCCTGATGAACCTATGGTCATCCTTCCAGACCCTTAGAATTACAGTTAGAACAAAACTACAGTTCTACAGTAGTAGATATCACTCTGAACTCTGGTTCTAAATGAACACATGTGGGCAGAAAGCATTTAACATAATCTGTCTACTTTGTCTTTGTTTCTGTTTTTCATGGAAAGCCATGTTAGTGGAGAGATGTAACATGTATCTCTTATGGGGAGTTCTCAGCCTAATGATCTGAAAAGTAAAAAAACCCCAACCAAGCAGCCAACAACAAAACAGGGAAGGAACAGGTAGAAGGAAAATGCTGACCCTGTTTAGAGTGAATGAGGCCAATGCAAATTTTACTGGCAGAACAGAACTTCAAGGAATAGGGATTTTTAAAAGTATTTGAAGTATAAGCAAACACATGTTTTCATCAGAGACCAATGTATAACAGGCCAATATTTCCCTGCCACAGAAGAAGAGACTCATAGCCCAGTTGATGACAATTGCCAGGTGCTGATTTCTAGTCTGATGTTTAGTTCACTGAGCCATATGCTGTTCCACAACCAGAGCTTCATTAGCTCTTGAGGGTTTTCTCACAGTGGGAACAAGAAAACTAAAGACAGAAAAGAATATACTTCATCTGAGTCTACACTGTTTACTCAGGATCTATTAACAGACCTAAATAGGATTTATTCCAAGATATTCTTTGGGAAGACCCTGAAGAGTCAGTTGGAAGGCGGAGGGAAGAATTTAAGAGGATGCTAATGACTTGAGCTCAGAAATTCTTTCCCTCCTCCTCCTCCTTCTTTTTTTTTGAGTCAGGGTATCACTCAGTTGTCCACACTGGAGTGCAGTGGCATGATCATGGCTCACTGCAGCCTTGAATTCCTGGGCTGAAGAAACCCATTCTCCTCAGCCTCCTGAGTAGCTGGGACTACAGGTGTGTACCACCATACCTGGCTAATTTGTTGATATTTTTTGTAGAGACAAGGTCTCATTATATTGCCGAGGCTAGTCTCAACCTCCTGGGTACAAGCAATCCTCCCTCCTTGGCCTCCCAAATTGCTGGAACTACTGGTGTGAGCCACATGCCCAGCTCCCAGAATTTTTTTTTTTTACATTTAAAATAATTTTAAACACACGGGTACCCTTGTTGATGAGGTGTGCCCTCCCTCCTGGCAGTTTCCCACTACTGTCAATCCAAAACCACCCCCCCAGCAGTTTCCACTATTCCCAATCCTTTTCTTATAGTTTTATGATCATTGTTCGAGGTCCGCTTATGAGTAAGAACATGTGATACTCAGTTCTTTGTTTCTGTGAGAGATCACTCAGTATTATAGACTCTAAGTCTATCAGGTTGCTGTGAAGTTCATAATTTTGTTCTTCTTTATGGCTGTACAATATTCCATCATGTATATGTACCACATATCATTTATCCAGTCCTCTTTCGATGGGCAGCATGGTTGGTCCAGGTTTTTGCTATTGTGAACAATGCTGCAATAAACGTGTGCACAGGTATCTTTTTCATAGAGTGATTTGAGTTCCTCCGAGTATATTCCCAGCAGGGGAATTGTGGGGTCATATAGGAGTTCAATTTTTAGGACTTTTAGGAATCGCCAAACTGTTTTCCACAGAGGTTGTACTAGCTTACACTGCCACCAACAGTGTAGAAGCGTTACTTTTTCCCTACATCCTCTCTAGCATCTGTTCCCCAGAAGTTCTTAAATGAACATTTCATTTTAAAGTTATGACTCTGACTCCAAATTATGCAAGTGTTTAGTAGTAACTAATGTAGAAGCAAAGTTTCAACAGTCTCATCCTAACTATTTTTAAAAATTAGAATATCATTCTGTAGGTTACTAAGGTCACTAAATGAATAGTAAGGAAAATAACCCCAAGACTGAGTTATACTCAGTCTTTTGCCAGCTGGCCCCTGAAAGACAGTGATGTGTGACATACAAGCTGGTATTTGCTAACCATCACAGTTATAAATAATGAATAGAATCAACCAAAAAGTAAATAAATCTGAAACACTACATGGTTGGATCCAAATGCAGTCATGATTTATACAGCCTTAAAATTATGTTCTTTAAAAATATATTTCTTAAAAAGTCAAAAAAAAATCAATTAAGTGCAGCCATTTAAAATAATTTTTGTGTAAAAAATTAATGATATGCTAAGTGGCTGTTAATAATCTGCTAGTCTTAGTATTCTGCCTGAAAGCACTCCCAGATATCAAAACAACATGGTCACTGTGTGAATGCGCTAGGATCGGCTGAGGTTGGGCAACAGGCCTGGTGGCAGCACAGGCAGCTATTTATCAGTTTTGCTTTGTGTGTGATGTCTGAATGCCAACATACACATTCAGCCCTTCCAGCCATCTGGCGTTTAAGGATGTGGTTACAAATGGCTGCTATTTTTAATATAAAAAGGAGTAAGAGAAACCTGGATCAAGGTAGTAATTGCAAATCTAATATCAGTATTATATGTTAAAGTGCATGGTTATTATTTGGATGCTAGAAATGGAAGCAAGACTTACCATCATGTGGCTGAAGTGTAAATCTGTCTTCCTTCTCAATTTTTGATGTTTCTTCTGTGCTTTCGGCCAACTGGTCAGGTTCTGACTGTTCTGACTTTGCAAGAACTTGTTTTTTACAGTCTGAGTTAGTTTGAACATTTTTGGAGGCGTCTTTCTGAGAATCATCCTTCTTATTTTTGTTCTTATCCTGGATTTGATTGAGGCTATCTATTTGTACAAATATCAAAATCAAACAATAATTTATATTTAAAAATAAAGTTTCAAAATGTCACTAGGCCTTATAAAAAGAAACAAAGTTAATAATGTTTGTTCATTCTTTCAAAACATTTATTGGGGGTTTATTATACACCTAGTACTATTCTAGGAAGGAATAGGGAGACAAGTCTCTGCTTTCTAGAGATTCCATTCTAAATGGTAGAGATAGATGATGAGATAAACAAATAAATAGTGTGTTCTTAGATAAAGAGAACAACTGAGTTTTTGTGAGTAAGGGGGCTATGGGGAGCACTACCATACCATAGCAAAAGTCTTCAGGGAGAAGCTCTCAGGAGTCCCCTTTGAGCTGAGAGCTGTTTATGAATCTTGGAAGCTTGGCCTTGGAGCCTGTATTCTTGGATTAGATTCTAAATGTAATTGGAAGACATTAGAGAGTTTCAGGCAAAGGAATCATAATGATCTAAGTTTTTAACAGACCACTTCTGGCTGCTGTGCACAGAAGGATCACAATGAGGGAGACTAGCATGGATGCTACTGAGGGCTGGGAGGAAGATGATGGTGGTTTTAGTAGGATGGCAGCAATAAAGATAAAGTGGTTGGATCAAAATCTATTTTGGAGGTTACTTGATGGATCAAGTGTGGGAGGTGAGAAAGGTATCAAGGATACTGCCTAGGTTTTTAGCATGATTAGTAAAGATCAGGGAGGAGAAGATTTGGGTATCAGATGTGGCAGTGGTGAATAATCCAGAATTCTGTTCTGGACATGTTATGCTGGAGGTTGGAAATCATTATGCCAAACTGTAGTACTGTCAATCTAATACTTATAACGTTTATACACAGAAATATCATTGTTATTTATAACATTTATTTCTCTCTAATCAGACTTGCATATTCACAAAAGGTAGGTTTTTTTTTTTTAAGTTGCTTGACAGGTTGCTTATGAAATTATGGGTCCAGGAACTTTCACTGCTGCTCTTAGTTGTGGTTCCTTACAAAGGAAAAACCACAACTATAAAACCTATATTAAATTATGATTTTTGTTGCTAAATCATCCAACTTAAATACTTAGTGTGAACTGACATTATTTTATAGTCACGATACAATTTATTTTTATTGCCTATAGCAGTTGGGAATTGCATAGGATCATGCTAATTGTGACAGGGATATTACATGGAATAAGCTTGTGATTTCAATTTAGTTCACAGACAACAGGTGCTCACATTACAAATATAACCACCCAGATGGCAGACTTGTCAATTTTGGTAGGAGCACCCAGAAGTGAAAGAGGGAAGACTCAGCTCCTGATTATATTTTTCTTCAGATAAAACTAAGACAGGGAAGAGAGCAAGGCAGGAGGAAGGAATTATAATAGCAGAGTTTACGTCTTAGCTGAGTCTTTGTCAATGCCGATATTTTGAATAATTAATATATGATGGAAAATTAGTTATGTACAATTACTACAGCTGATACAATAAAATGAGTACCTCTAGTTTCAAAAACTGTCAACTTGGCATTTTTTATTGCCATAAAAATGCTTTCTAAAACTGGAAACAAAAAGAATACTAACGATATTTTCTTATGATAACCATAGGGATTAATAAACATTTCAGAAACAAAACATCAGAAAATGGTATATCATGCTATAAAACATACTTGAGGTATATTTTTAATTTCTGACTTTAAAATGTTTTTAGAAAAAAATAAAACTCATAAAACTGACATCAAATTGGTTCTTAAAATTGATCTATAGAGGAATCTTAATTTGCCAAGCAAAAAACATGGCAAAATGTACATCAACTGGGCAAAAAAAGCTACATTGGATTATTCTATTTAAAAAAAAATCTTTAATTTCTTTAAAAACAAGTATTATCTACAGAGGAAAGAAAACAGCAGGTCTATGAGTATAGGGCACATTTGCTACCATAGCAACAGAGCCTCTATTCCTGCCCACTGAATTCACATCCTGCTGACATTAATCAGAAATGTCCATTTGTGCCAAATTAATGCCATATCACAGACGCTTGAGGATATACATTCTTGACAGAACCAGGAGCTTTTCACATTCCACAAGGCCTTCACTATGTGAAGTTCTTATTCCAGTTTAAAAGCTAAAGTCGTGCTGAGTCACACTAACCTTGGATAACAGCAGTCTCTAAAAGCATAGGTTATCTGAAGACACATTGCTAGCCCCCACTTCCATGGTCATCTACTGTGTACTCACCAGCGCTGCCTTGAGGATTCTCACACATTTCACAATGTGGTAACACTGCATTATTGATATACGTGCAGAAACGACACTGCCAGCTGTCTCCAGGTGGGGATGTGGTGGTTGACTGGTCCTTGGCCTCCTGGACACCTTCCACCAGTGGAACTTTGGCTTTCCCGGGCTGGTGAGATGTCTCCTCCAGGGGACTGCAGTGGTCATCAGTGGCAACTGATTTTAATCTTTTAGCTTCAGGTTCAAAATCACTTTCAAAATAAGTGATATCTCTTACAGTCATTCTTCCAGGGTCTGATGTCACTACAGTATTTCTCTCCTGGAATAACCTTGATTCATCACAGGAGGTCACCAACTGTCTTTTTTTAGGTTTTGGTAAAAAGAATGATCGAATATCATGCTGTTTTTCTTTTTCAAACTAGGAAAAACAGACACCAAAGTAAGAAATCTAATATGTTCTTCTTAAATTAAAGAGCTTAACAAATATTTTCATTAACCAACATATTGCCTTATCCTTTGAACACTGTTTTGGAAATGAATTCAATTATGTTCTGACTCTTCATATACACACATATATATATATAGAAAATATCATTAACACATCCATGTACTTACTATGTCTAATTTTTTTTATAGCACTTACAATGTGCCAAGCACTTTTCATATACTAACTCATTTAATCTTCATGTTAGTTCTGTGGCATTGGTACTATTATTCTTTTCTATTTCTGATAAGGAAACTAAAGCTTTAGAGAGGTAAGGTAATTTGGTTAGAGAAATTATATAATAAAAACATACTCCATAGATGATCTGACCTAGATGTATATCAGGGAAAGGAGGCAATTGTGTGTTTAAATATGTCAAGTCAATCAACACCCAAATTATAAACACAATGTTCATAAACAAGGTTATCCATATTAAAATGCTTTCTTGACCAGGAAGCATTTTGCAAACAGCATTAAAGCTATTAATTAAAACAGTTTCTTTAGCAGATGCATTTTAATAATTATCTTGTTTTCAAGAATGTATTTCTTTTGTCAAAGAAAAGCTGTATCATTATCCCATGCTTTTCATCTTTTCCATGGGTAATCTCAATTTCCTAATTAGAGAAAGTAGGATGCTGTCTCCATGACTGATAAGCTACCAGTTAAAGTAAATTAAAAGAATTTTAGAGGTGGAATTGGAAACTATGTTGGACACACACTGTGCCAGACTATATTTCAAGATGGCCACAGCAGTTCTTATCTCACCTCACATGCTCCTCTTTTCACAATGTGACACTGACATGCATGCCTTCATTGAGAGGTGGAGTTCTCCTCCTCTCTTGAAACTGGATTGAACTTGTAACTATCTCACCCAACCAATGCAATTAAAGTGATTCTGTGTGACTTCTGAGACCAGGTCATTGAAGGTCATATGGTTTCCACTTGGCTGGCCCTCTGTCTCTCTTTCTTTCTCTCTTGGGATGCTTGCCTTTGGAACCCATGATGTGGCGAAGCCCAGACCACAAGGACAATTCATGGTGGGTGGTTCAGTTGACAGTCCCAGAAAGGGTCCCAGGTGACAGTCAGCATCAAGTGCCAGATATGTGAGTGCACAATATTTTCAGGTGTTTCCAGCCCTAAGCCTTGGGGTCTTCTGGCAAAGGCCACAGCCATTATGGAGTAGACATGTCATTTCTGTATACCTTGGCTGAATCCTGAACCCATACAAACTATGAGAAATAACACATGGCTATTGTTGTCTTAAGATACTATGTTCTGGAGCAATTTATTATGCAGCAATATACACTTAAGACAGACACTGTAGATAACGAGAGCAAAATACCATATATTATAAAGAGATATTTTCTATAATGAATCGTATCTGTACTTCTTAGTAGTACTGCATAAGAAAGAAAGATTTAAAAAATTCATAGAGAATGAAAGATTAATGGTTACCAGTCGCTGGGGGAAAGGGAAATGGGAGTTAGTGCTAAATGACTACAGAATCTCTATTTGGAGTAATAAGGAAGTTTTAGAAATACTGGTGACAGTTGTACAACTTGTGAATGTAATAAATGCCACTGATTGTACACTTAAAAATTGTTAAAATGACAAATTATATGTTACCACAATTTTTAAAATCTAAAAAAATAAAGATAGGGAAAAAAGAGGGAAGGAAAATTCGGCTGTTCCCACATTGGTAAAATTAAAACATATATTATCATAGGGAAAAAGCATGTCCATACACCCTTAGTGATGCAAAACTTTTATTTTGCATGGCTGTTATTTATACATTGTCACACACTATAAAAAGTTATCTAATTAGTTGTGAAAGGTACAGAATGTAGATAAAAATATCATTAACCATGAGACAAGATTTTTAAAGCAAAGCATAAGGGAAATTCTAAGAAAAGGATGAAGGAAAGCAGAGAGATTAGTAGACTGATAAAATGATGAAGTTTGATGTTTCAAAGAAGGTAAAAAAGAAACAAAAAGAATTGCACATTTAAAGAAAATGTTCTATTTCATACAATAAAACTGCAGAGCTTGCAGGATTTTAAAGATACTAGCAAATGTTTGGCAAACATGAACTCATTTTATCAGCGGCTTCTAGTTAAACCATGCTGTTATACAAGAGAGGTGAACTTTTCTATCCTCCTTGACTAGAAATGAGTTGAGTTTGCCCTCACCCCTAGTCACTAGTTTTGCTGGGCATACAATTCTCAAAGCCTTAAAGACATAGCTCTGTTTCTTTCAATATGTGATGATGCTGAAGATGCTGTTCCTTTGTAGGTTGCAAGCTTTTTCTTTGTTTTAGAGACCTTCAGAAAATTCTTTCTGTCACTGGTGTTTTAAAATTTCACAATGATCTACAGCTATATAATGTATATTTATATGCCTTAAAAATTCTGCTCAGCTTCCGGAATGCCTTATTAATTTTGAATAATATTATCTTAAGCTCCTAAAAATTTCTATTATTCTCTGATAATTCCTTTTTCTTTTCTCCTTTTCTGAGATTCCTATTAACAGAATGTTGGACCTAGACCTACCTTTTACTATAGTTCTTTTCTTTTTGTTTTTTGATCCTCTAAACTCTTAGAGTTTTCCTCTATTTATCTTTCAACCCCCCTATAGAATTGTTTTAGTTTGGCAGTCTATTTTTTTTTTTTTTTTGAGTTGGAGTCTCACTCTGTCGCCCAGACTCGAGTGCAGTGGCCGCTCCCGGCCACCGCAGTCTTGACCTGTTGGGCTCCGGCGATCCTTCCGCCTCAGCCTTCCAAGTAGCGGGAATTACAGGCATGCGCTACCATGCCCGGCTGATTTTTTGATTTATTGTAGAGATGAGGTCTCGCTGCCCAGGCAGGTCTTGAACCCGCGGGCTCAGGCAATTCACTCACCTTCCGCCTCCCAAAGGCGGGGGATTACAGGCTGAGCCACCAAGCCCGGCTGGCAGTCTATTTTTAACATCTAAAAGTTCCTTCTTGTTTCCTGTTCTTTTTTCATAGTGTTTTCATTTTATTAATATTTGTAATACAATCTCAAATCTGAAGCCACTAATTAGAAGTTTTAAGAAGTTACCTTCAGGATCAATTTTGTATTAGTTTACTTTTGTTTACCTTTTCACGCTACAGATTTTCTCTTCTAATATCCAATGACCTTCGACTGTCCCTTCTTACATAAGAAAAAGGGTTGCCTGGGAACTCAGGACACTTGAGACTACCAGCAAAAGATTTGCTAGAACATGCTGATTGAACATGAGGGGTAAGGAAGATGTTGGGACCCAGAGTGATCCTTAGACTCCTATATTTCTGACTTGCAATATGGTAGGGATAATATTTTCAGTTACTGCAACAGGGACTATAGAAAGATATATAGGATCATTAGATGGCGAAAAGAAAGAGACAAGGTTCACTTTAAGATATGTATGAGAACTGGTCAGTACTAGGGTGGAGAGTTTCAAGAAGCAGGTCTGGAATCCAAGACATAGACAACTGGATTTAGATATCTGGGAACTTCTGGCATATAGAGGTAGATAAAGTCATACAATTGGATGTCATGACACATGGAGATAATTCAAGTAAGAAAAGGTGAAAGGACAGACAAACACAAATAATATTAAGGGTGGAATGAGGAAATTATTTCTTTTGACGAAAATTAAAAAGGAAAAATCAGGAGGTTGATGGCTTCAGTGTGTGTGTTTTGGTTTTCTATTCATTATACTAGATGTTCAGTAGGCCTTTTAATCTTAAATTTTTTTTTTAAAGAGATGGGGTCTTGTTATGTTGCCTAGGATGAAATCCAACTCCTGGGCTCAAGTGATTTCTCTTGCCTTAGCTTCCTGAGTAGCTGGGACTACAGGCACACACCATTATGCCTGGCTTTCAGTAGGTACTTTCAATCACATGAACTCATGTCCTTCAATTCTGGAAAGTTCTCTTATATTATTTTACCTTCTTTCTTCTCTTTCTGGAATTCCTAATAGGAAATAACTTCTGAACAGACTATTTGATTTTCTTCACCTCTTTCATCTCTTTATTTGTTCTACTTTCTGGGTGATTTCTTCATTACCTTCCTGTCCTTCTATATTGGATTATTAACTTCTAATATTACAGCTTTAATTTCTAAGAGCTTATCCCTATTCCTTTTCTTATTCATATTTCACAGGTGCAATATTTTGTTTTACTTCTGTGTAGCTATTAATGGTAGTTTTTGTTTTGTTTTTAAGCTTTCTTCAGTTCATGATAGTGTCTCTATATCTTTTGTATCTCATTCTTGGTTTGCATGCTTGTTTTGGTCTCTGTTTTACACATGAAAGATTTTCCTTAATGCCTGGTGGCCTTTCGGTGTCCACTGATATTTAACAATAAGACGCTAAAATGCTAAAAGAAAGTTCCATATGAACGAATTCAATGTAGGGCCATCACTGACTGTTTTGTTGGGGGATTCCTTTCAGTCTCCATAAGTTTATTCTTGGTCCAGTCAGTTTCTCTAGATCAGCTATCAGGGAGCTGATTAGAGAAAGGTGTTAAAGATTTCACCATTAATTAAGAAGCTTCTCCTAATTTGTTTGCTTTCAATTTAGTGCCTTACCTATGCCCTCAACTGTCTCTCTTCCTAGATATACTTTAAAAAAACCATTTTTCTTAAAAGAGGAGCAAATAAAACAAACTGAGGTCAGCATAGCTACATACATAAAATATACAGTGGGGCCCTGTAACAACACTAAATAATGGTTAAATAATACTATAATCCTTTGTCCCATTCCACATTTTAAAAATTTGTTTGTTTAAAGACTTACCTTGACATTTCCCCATAAAAAAAAGAAAAACCAGAATTGCTTAATATTTATTAAAACAAAAAACAACCCTCCCAACAAAACAAGCAATAAACTAAAGAAATCCTCCAAAAAATGAGACTTCTCAGGGCTTTCAAAT